GTCTGTATGTGATTGTGATGGCCTTTTGTTTGAATAAAGAAACTTGAAAGAAATAGAATAAGTTAAACATTTTCAATGCCACATTTCAAGTTCCTGTTTAAGGCTAGGATAAAAGTTGAAAGCTTACATAATTTCGATGGGTTTTTTGTTTGCCTGAACTGTGGGATAGGTTAAGGTCTGGCTGCCTATATTTCTTACATCATGTCACTGGGAGCTTGCTCACACCCAAAACACACCTCTAATTTGTCGGCTACTTTTAGAAAAACTGTTAAATCTTGGTCCACGAAAATGAGTCACGTGCGAATGGACACACAGGGAGGGAATATTTTGGCTGAAATCATTACTCCATACATATCATTTCCCTCTGCTAACAGAATGCAAATTTTCTTTCCCGTAGTCAGACACTTTCTGTTTGTATTTTAGTTGTGCGATTTTCTTAGCCCTAGTTAAGCAGTGTTGCAATTGTTGCAAAGGCGGAAGTCTATGTCTTGTTAATGAAAGGGGTCTCGTTTAAAAGTTCATAGTTATTAACAAATAATCCCCATTAAGTTCGTAGGAGATTAATATAGAATTTATCTTTCGGTTTTTCCTAGGATATTATGCTATTTAAGGAAGAGCACAGAAATTAACCTTAAAAACTCGCCAATAAATCATCCTTGAGATGTGGGATCTGTTGTTGAGCTATATAGGCAATTAAATGAAGTAAAGAAAGGCAGGGACCAGATTGAGGTGTCCGTCTTACAGAGGGTCAACTACAAAAAGTAAAGAAGGGTAGGGACCAACTCTAGGTATCAACTTTAGTGAGGTGTCCGTTATAAAGGTAGACATGGTTGACTGTATCAATATTTGTCCACTCAAGACTGAACCTTTGAGAACGGTAAAAGTGACCGCATTCAGGGAGACAGAATTCTATTGAGTGATTAACCATTACAGTTCAGGTCATTATAATAGGTATTGAGGTTCAAACGATGCCGAGCCACTGAAAAACAAACCACTCAAGATTTGCTTCTTTGCCTAAGGCGAGGATTTCAGCATCATTGCATTGGATGAGTTCACGTCTTAGTTGTCAGGACTGAAGCACGCAAAGTCATCTCCATTGCGATCAATCCTTTTAATGATTTCATTATTTTCTCAATCTCTTACAAATTGCGGAAATCAGTTTATGTCGCTTAAGAAGACTCCTGTTCATTTCTTAGACTTATTAAAAGTTATTCACGTTGCCATGATCAAAGACAAGGAAAGTATAGAAAAATAACTTTGTTACCCTTCCAGGAACAGAAGGAATCGGAACATAATCATGATCACTTTACCACCTACTGAACATTGTTAAAAACGGAAATAACGAGTTTAAAATGTGCTGCGGGTGCGAGTTAACGTCAAAACACCAACTTCACTTAAATGCACCTTAATACAGTAAAAAGAAGCACAGAAATTGAAGCAAACCAGTCTCATTGTTTCAAGTTTGGCAGTTCAAAATGATTTCAACTGAAATATGCGATAAATCGGCTTCATGGCCTTTTCTGATATTAGCAACAAGGTGAAGTAAAGCCGCCACTTTGCTTTATTTTATTACAAATTGTCGTTATTAAAGCAGGGGCACCCAACGAGAATATAATTCAAATCCACTTAAACATAGCATTGTTAAATGTATTTTAGTATTTAAACGGTAGATATAGGCATATTTTTATCCCCTAAAAATTTTTCATCTGTTCGGATTTCCTAGCTGAAAGTCTAGTGATCCGAAAATTATAGGGATCAAAAGTTACCTTTTCGAAAATTTCAGCCAGAAAAAAAGGCTCCCGAAAATTCTAGGTGACCTTTTAAGCGTAAAAAATCCGTTAAAAATGGGCAATTATACCATTCTTTAGATGTTCGAAAATCCTAGGAGAGGCAGGCAAGCAAGAAATTTTACAACAAATGTTCCGAAAATTCTAGATCTCAAATCGTCTTCCGAACAGATACTTTCCGAAAATTGTCGTTGGGTGCCCCTGTTAAAGTATGAAAACAATGAGTAAAGAACGCCATTGAAAGTTCGTATTCCGGAATCCGAGTGTTCCCTGCTAATTTGTAAGTATCTTTTTGGTGCATTCTTCTTCCCGAAGAGTACTTTACGATCAACCGTAGAACAGAATTAAGATTTTCGAGCCTACTCGATGGTAGTCAGTATCAGCCAACCGAATGCCGTTGTACATATATACTCATATACGGAGTATTTACTGAAATCATCTTCTTGAAAGTGCTTTAACCGTGTACACTGGCAGTTATTGAGCTGCCTTGTATATCACTGAATAGGGCAAGCCACTTTACATGAAGGCTAAAATATTTAGGGGTAAAAATGCTCCTGGTTATTACCCTGGTGAAAATGGCTGACTACGTGTACTTGAGACATGTTCCTGAAAAGGTGTCCATGTTGTCCATAATTACTCTGTCTTTAAGAGATTATTCGGTTTTAAAATTTTCACTTTCCCCTCATCGATAAAACTTAACGTCTGTACCCCTTGTCGTCGCTTCAGTGTATTTGACGTTCGTAAGTTTTACAGACGATTAAAGAAACGTAGATACATCGAGCCGGATTTTTGAAACCGTTACCGCCACTGTAATGGACCTTTTAAGTTAGATCCAACAGTTTTTTTTCGGCCAAAAACTCCATGGTAGCCTTTATAAAAACTAAGAGTGCAACCATGTTTTTTCTCTTCTCAGCTCCTTTCTTCCTTCTCGCTCTTTTCTTTTTCTCTTTTCGTTCGTTAGTGTGATTTTGGAGCTTATCGCGGCCAGAAAGCCTGCCTTTTGACGCCTTGTCACCCAAATGACAGCAAATTTCGTTAGGTACGTTTCTTAATAACTCAACTAGATATAAATACATACTTTTTTGAAAGGTCAATATATCCAGCCAAAGGCTGATCAGTTACTTTGCTGATGCACTACCAAAGCATTTACAATCTTACCTTTTTTAAAGGCTGGATCAGGATTATCTCAGACATGAATGAAGCTCAAATATTTCACAAAAAGTGCACAACTGAAAGCGCCAAGGATGAATTTACCGACGCCGCTCAAAAGCGGAACTTACTCTTAAAACTTCCTGTTAAAACACAGTATAAAAGACCATCAATTCGCCTTGGAAGTTTCCTGATGTCTAACTATGCTTTTGTCCCAGTATCAAATCTACAGATATTAAGCAACTTGAAAGACTGTCCTTCTGAGACAATTTCTTCGTGGTAGCTGATGACACTGGATGAACTGACGTGGAATCAGGTTTTGACAGTATTTGACAACTTTATGAGAGTGGCTATCTTTATATGTACTAGGTTAATACTGACTGCTTAAGGAATAGTTAGGCCAGTCCTCGAACAGGGCAGTTGGAACAACTTTGGATTAGAAACTTCAATCGTGTGGTACAAATTACTTTAGATTAGATATACTTCAATCCTAAAAGGAAAAAAATACACTGAGGTCTTTAGTTTGCACGAGCTTGTACTTTTTATTTATCACAACCAAGAGATCATATCTGATCTCTTGTCACAACTAAAGAAGATGATTGTAACAGCCGATTGGAAACATGGCTTGTTTCGAAAGCAAATATGTCGTCCTTTTCCTAATAGTTATTTTTACTTATTTTACTTTTACGTTCGCTGCTTTATTTGTGTTCGTAGGAGTCTGGGTTCTACACTCAACGTAATTCACGGGAAACAACCATTAAATGAAATTGTTAATGTTATTTGGACAGAATCAGAGCTTTCAATACAAAAATACGACTGAACGCGGGGACGCGACTAGCAAGTAACACCGGACGCCGCCTTAACAAGCTGCATGTAGCAAACTCTCAGTTTGCCATCACGATTTGAAGGATCACCTAACATTCGATAACGAATAACAAAAACCAGACCGTATTCTCTCTCAACGGCAACTTTATTTTTATGTATATATTTCTGGTATCACTATAAATAAAAAAGGGAACGAAGAACTCTACAAATAGCTTGTTGTTTTAGAGAGACTGAATGATTATACATCCCAAAAAAATAGAGACAAGAATTCCCGTATTCTCATATTCAATTCAGTCTATGATGATATTAGATAAGAGGGTCTGCGATCAATTGTTCAAGTGCGTTTTTCAGTAATTTCAACCCAGTTAACAGGACCTGTGTCTACAAGAAGGAAGATTATAAAGATAACTTGACTCAGATTTGAAAATATTTGAAAATAATCTCATGCATGCAAGTTGACAAAAGATATACTCTAACATTTTTTCTTTTTTGTTAGCGGCATGTTCCTCTAGTTAGCTTGTAGCTAGAAATACGGCTGGAAGAAGAAAATTGTGGTAATGGAATTCAACGCACAAGGTAATGGCTTTTCTTGTTTCTTCGTTCTCCAAGCTGAGAATAGTTAAAACGCGGGTGCCAACTTTTAAACTTATTGCTTTTCCTTAAGAAAGACCACATTTACTTGACACCTTTAAATCTCCTCTTGACGAACTTTAAAGAGTCTGTACGTAATTGTGATGGCCTTTTCTTTGAATATAGAAACCTGAAAGAAATAGAATAAGTTAAACATTTTCAATGCCACATTTCAAGTTCCTGTTTAAGGCTAGGATAAAAGTTGAAAGCTTACATAACTACGATGGATTTTTTATTTGTTTGCCTGAACTGTGGGATAGGTTAAGGTCTGGCTGCCCAGATTTCGTGTATCATGTCCTTTTTCTACTGGGAGCTTGCTCACACCCAAAACACACCTCTAATTTGTCGGCTACTTTAAAAAAAACTGTTAAATCTTAGTCCACGAAAATGTACTTTCCAGCATTGAAATGTGTTAATGCTGCTGAAAGTCGAGCAGCTTGAACACCTATAGTAAAAAATCTGGATAACGATTTGTGTTTAAAATAATAAAAATGCATGACGCTAAAAGGCGACTCTTAATGATTTTGTATCAGTCTAATAAGCTGTAGATATTAGGTCACCATTTATTAATGCTAAAGGTTATTCTAATAAACGCTGGTGATACCTCGTTTACTTGACTTTTTTCTCCTCAGCTTCCTTTTTTCTCTGTTCTTTTAGCTGACCTCTCTTAACTACTATCAGCATTTTTCCAGCTGTCCACAGCCACAGCACCTACAGTTTTAAAAACTTAAATAAGTCTTGTACTAATTTGATAACATAACACCTTTAAATGATATCATAACGCAAAATCACTGAGTCCATATTTGACTAAACATGTCAAAAGTCCATTTCTGAAATACCCCAAGCCTCTGTTTTAATATCAGGGTAAATGCAAATTAAGCTTTAGATTTCAAAATGACTTTTTACTCTCATGGAAGTGAAGTTTATTTTTACAAGCAAGGTTTACCACTTAGCCTCACTGTCAAAGTCAGGGTTTCTGGAAGTAGGAAATGGCCTAAAACCAGGCACATATTAATAAGAAAAAAAAACAAAGGCAATAATATTAACTTATCAATTTGGAATCAACAAATTAGTAGAATGCTACTGTCACATTCATGCACACTGGGGTCCATTTTTCAAAAGTCCTGGTAATTACTGGGCCATGAAAGCTGTTTTATTTACATTTAAGATTAAAGTTTCAATAATGGTTTTAATAGTTTAGCAGAAAATATGAAAAAAAATTGTAATCTGTTTACCCACAGAAAACTTACGAATTCTTAAGAACTCACTGAAATGTATCTGTGCATTCCAGAACGAATTGGAAATTGAAAGTGTTGGTTTTTGAGGAGAGGGGAAAACCAGTGTACCCAGAGAAAGACCTCTTGAAGAACAGGAGAGAACCATCAACAAACTCAACCCACATATGGTGTCGACCCCAGGATTCGAACCCAGGCCACATTGGTGGGAGGTGACTGCTCCCACCGCTGCCCCGAACTTACTCCCCAGTAAATCTATTGGTTAACAAATAGACTGGTTTGTCAAGCAGGACCCCTCACTTTTATTCTTTAGAATTTGATTTCAATATTTGGCTTTTGGCCCAAAAGATGTTGAGCTTTCAAGAAACAGACCACTAGAATCCTGCAATAATTATTGCTCAGCCAATAGCTAGCTAGTCAATGGCTATTCTGGCTCAGTTAAAAATTGGAATCTACTTTCAAGCAGTAACATCAACAAGAAGGGCAACCAGTTGTTGAGTGTTAAAAGAGACACTGAGTGAGATTAGAAACTAGACTGATTATTGCTTTTATGGTTAAACTGCTTTGCATTACAAAATGGATAAATAAACTTACAGTCATTAGAAAGCAGTTGAAAAGTAACGGCCCTGAATATACCACAGAAATAAAAAGCCCATGTGAGTCAAAATACTGCTCCTGGGAAAACATCCTGCAATTAATTAAACAATCAGCAAGTTGACACCACTATTTACACAAAATAAACTAAGAAAAATTGTTTGGAATCATTAAAAAATGGTATTTTTATTTTCTTCTTTTTCTGGCTTTATTAGCAGTGCAGCACCTCTGGTAATTTAAGGTCATTTCAAATACGACTTTAAATGCTGCAGAATTATGGCAGAAAGCTAAAATAGCATGAAAAAGAAGCACCTTACGTTCTGATAATCCAATTGAAGGGGTGCATTAGATAAATCCCAACATGAACCTTGATTTTATTTTTTATTCTCCTTTGGTGTAACTAGTTTATCAGAGGTCACTTAAAGCTTTATTTCACCCCTGTAATAACATTAGAATCGATGCAGTAACTTAAAACAATAAGATTAACAAACCTCCAATGTTTTGCAGCAAGGGTATTTAACTGCTCTGATGTTAATGCCAGGCCCACTATAACAGACAAAATTCATTACAAATTAAATTGAATAAAATGCATACTTAATTTTGTCTAGTGTATGGCCTAGTATTTTTTATTGACTCTGAGAAACCCTCTATTTATTCCAAGAAATCACCTTTTTTAACCAAGTCAACGCTCTGACTATTCCATTCACTTCAGTTATGAATGTTTTCTCATTATTTCAAGCCTTGACTGCTCAGAGTCCCCTATTTTTCTGTAAGATCATTGAGATAGAGCACTTTGCGTTATGGGCGGCCATCCTGGTTTCATGAATGTTCCAAGCCTAGCCAGCCGATGACTGTCAAACCTACTTAGGGGGTCCTTAAACTTTATGTGATGAGAAAGCTAGAGGAAGTTTAACATTAGCTTCCTTGAAATGGATTCAGGTTTCCTATATATGTTAACTTGTACTCCCTGCTTTTCACTTTATAACTTTGAAATTTGTACTCATTTCTTAAGTTAATACTCACATAAACACAAGAACAGAACAACTTGAAAATTTAACCATTTTCTGGTTGATAGTATACACAAGAAAGTTAGGGCATGAAAAGTTATCAGTCCGATTAACCAATGTTCAGTCCAGTCCACCTAGCAAAAAATCATTTGAATATATATCAATAACAAAATAATGGCAAAATATCTTAAGTCTCACTAACTTTTTGAAAACTTTGTAGCCTGAGAGAACAGCCAGGTGCGGGCTGTATGGAAAGCTTACCAAAAGACAATATTTTGCTACCCCACCATGGCCTGGTTTCCCTGTCATTTTGCAGGGAAACCAGTGGTGGCCTTGCAAAATGTCTTCTGTTTTATTCGGTTAAAAAGCCAAAGCTGGGGGCCTACTCCTGATAAATGCAGACCTGCCAACTCTCATGATTCTGCTGTTAGTCTCAAGATTTTTTACCTTTCTCATGGCCTCAGGACGAGACAATCTCATGGTGTTTTGGGAATATAATTCTGAATTGAAATGTTATCTTGTTGAAAAAAAAAATGGAAATTTCTTGGAATGCTAGTGCCTGTTTAAGCCTTGATAGAACCAGTCGAACAGTTTGGCCGAGACGTTAGCTTATCCAGAAGAAACGACCACTTATTTGCTGTAAGTTTCGTCCAAGTGATGCCCTCATCCCTAGCCTCATAGATAGAATCATCAAAGGTATTAAAAGAGGGACCAAAAATAAAGCAAGCTGGTAACAGCTAATTCCTCTAATGAAAAAATATTTCGTTTAATCTTGATTTAATTTTTTTCATAGGTCTCCTGATTTTCCTTTATCAGGGTTTGGCAGGTCTGTAAATGATAATAAATGCAGTAATAAACAAATCAAATACTGAAAAATGAACGCACATAGTAGTCCATTTTGGTCCACTGTATAATTACTTACTGCTTTAATAAATTCCCACAGATTATCAATTTGGCTTGTAGAAACCCACTCATTGCCACGAGGCACATAGGTTTTCTTCATTGTACCTTCGAAGAGCTGCTTCAATTTTTACTTCATGTATGCTCCTACATGCTATCGTGCCGTATCGTCGTTTTAAAATATTGATATTAACCACAATTCTTTGTCGTGGAGTAAAACGAAAATACTTCGACAACCTTCGGAAAACTTCTGATTCCAAGGCGAAATTTCAACAAATAAAAACAAGAAAGTCAAGTGCTGCCCGGGAGTGTATGAACCGCTTTGAAAGTGGCGAAAATAACAATCCCATACATGACGTATTTTCTGTCTTGACGTTCCGCTGACTCTTCTCAATGAAACTGAATGTTGTAGATGGTTGCTAAAAGTCTACTAAATTTGCATACGAGAACGAAGCCGACTTGCTAATTGGTCCGATAGAAGTGCTCTGGTATAGGTGATCTTAGAGCGCTTAGCATTTTACTTGTTGTAGTACAAAATATTTGTTTGTTGTTTAATTTTAAACTACCGACGTCGTATTCTTCATGACACAAGATACTCATTCCATTCACAGTCACTCAGTTCATCACTTTAGCACACATAGAGTAGTTTGTTTACATTAAATGTTCTCTGCAGCGTATTTTAATAAGCTCCTGCTGCTGTCACGGCTGTGATAAAACCCGTTGCCACGATTTAGCCGTTGCCAAGTGATTGATCGAATCATAAATCAGATAGAGAAGATCGGTCGAATGTTGAAATATTGAAACGGTTAATGGCGAAGACAGTGATAGAACGCACCGAGTTTGGATTTCATACCACCAGACTCAGAGGACTTCATTCAGAAGGCTTTTCTGCGAATCGAACATGAATGATCATGAATATCAAGCTGACTTTACCGTGTATGCCGAGAACCTTCGAAGTCGAGCTGAGATGATGTCAAGCCAGTAATGTTCTTAAGGGGACTGATAAATCTGAGAGCAGTTGGCTTTTGGCCTTCAGTGTTTGGGCTCGTTGTTTTTATTGCGGTTACAAGTAACTGCGTATCAGGTAACCTACTATCGCTCAGCTTGGAAGATTCTCATTTGTACTTTATCTCAACATAAGTTGAAATGTAATTAGATACAATGATCGTTCTTTTCAATTTAGAACAACTTTTAATTTTTTCCTATTGAAGGCAATTATCATGTTTTATAATGCGCATCATTTTTTAGGTTTCTATTCTTTTTCTGGATTAAAAAAAAAGGATCTCACATAAGCTTATATTTCACTACAACTATGTTATCCGTCGTGCGTCATCTTAAATAGATTTGATCTTCATTTATAATTGATGAGGTTTGCAGCCACTTTTCATTACGTATACAGTATTCTATTACTACTGCAGTTACAATATATATATCCTAATCATGTCTTGTTCATGAATTTGTTTTTTTTTCTGTTAGATAACACAGCAAAGAACATAGTATTGCTTTTTCAAGATGTCACTCTTAGTCAGTGGAAAAGTGCAAATAAAACAGCCGATCTTCGAAGAATCATTTTGGATGTTGTCAATGAGTTTTGCCCCCGAAACCCTAGCAGATGTTCTTTGAATTTTTGGAATGAATCAAGGTACTGAAAGTTTCTTCTTTTAATGTTGAATTTTAAGAGGAGTAATCAGGTGGTGGTGGTTGAAGCAGTGGAGGAGGTGGTGGTGGTGGGGGTGGAGGGGTAGGCAAACTGAGGGGTAGGGGAATTTAACAATTCCAGAGAAGCCAGGGTCAAATTTTACCACTCCTAGTTAACAAATTGATGTGAAATTACAGCCCCCAGACAGCCAAATAATTGAGGTTGTTAGCAATGTCGAAGTCCCCACCCAGGGGATTGCCCTTTTTAGCAGTGAATCGTCCCCGTGGAGAGTTTGGAGTAGATATCCTTGGATAATAATTCTGGCAGGATTTCATTGTTTACTTTATATAACTTGTAGTGTAAAAACAGGGTAGGTTAGTGGTCATGTTCCAGCACGTCACATGACACCATGTCTTTTGCCAAGTTTAAGACAATTCTGAAGCTCACTGCAGGCTCAAATTGTGAAAGCCAATGCCCCAAACCTACCGAGGTACCATGTGTCTTGGTGAAAATATCCATCAGGTTATCGGCCTCCAAGGTCTTTAATTGGTATTACTGTATCAACTGATAGTTGTGACTGGCAGCAGTGGTGGAATCTGTGCCCTGCAAAGCAACCAGGAACACGATCTGAGGACATATTAAAGGGGCTGAATTGAGAGAACTATGAACTATAGGAGCATCAGCTGGGAGGAGAAAAGGAGAGCCAGGAGCTCTACAAATGTTAATATTATAATTAAGTGTTGAGGTTCAAATTAACAGCTGCTTAGTGGATGGGTGTTGAACGTCTGAGAAGAATCTTAAATCCTTAAGAAATCTACTCTGGATATCACTGAATGTAACGTGGAGGACTGAAATAACAACAACTTTATCTGTACTGTAGACAGATAACTAAAGCAAATGAAACAAATAGGTGGCAGAAAAACATGACTTTTAAAGCATCGTTTAGCTATGGCTGGGTGGTCACGTTAAATAATTTATTAAAACTAATCTGCTGGTCTTAGTCCTGGAGGCGCTTGATGCCTTGAAACAAATATTACAGGTGCCTGGGACTGCTAGCAAACCAGCTGTCAGGGAGGCCTCGTCAATGTGTATAGAATGAAACACTGGGTGGTATAAACCTTTTGAAACAAAAAAGAATATAATTTGCAAGTTGAGTGCAGAATCACTTGAGTTGCTCCTTGCTGGCTGATGAAGTTGGTAAACAGCAGGCGCACCCAACAACCGTTTTCTGGGAAATGATCTGAAATGGCTCGTTATGCATCCTGGAGTGCTTTAAAGGCAATATAAATGAATAATTCGCATCGCTAAAAAAATTTGATCTGTTCGGTCGTCCTAGGAGTGGTTTGAACCTCTCGAATTTTTTAGGGCTGTTTTTCGCCTTTCCCGAAAATAACAGCCTACAGTGAAAACTTTCCGAAAACGTCAGATTACCTGACGAGCTTTTCCCTTAGCCGAAATTTTTAGGGGTCCTTTCAAATTTTCTCCGAAAACTTTATCTATTGTGAGAATGTCTTCGAATTTTCTAGGGCGACGTAGAATGTATAGAAAATTCTAGGTGTAATAATAAGAATAATTATAGATTGGTACCCTTAGAAAAGGGTCGTTGGGTTTTAAATCAGTTATGAGAAATTTTCGCTAATGAGACTGTCAGCCGGGTTTAAAAATTTTGCTATTCTTAGTTTACGAAAGCTACGAAATTTCTAGGTGCCGAAATCAGAATCTAGAGATTACTACGAACGCTACGAAATTTCAAGGTGATCTAGAGATTACTACGAAATCCGAAATTCTTAGGTGAACAAACCACACAAATCCCGAAACTCTGAGCCCAGCGAACAGTCACCACGAAACATTTTCGAAATTTTTAGCTGTTCTTGGGCTCTCGAAAATTTTAGCCATTCTAGAGGGCTCCGAACAGATATTTCCCAGAAAACGGTCGTTGGGTGCCCCTGAAACAGAAACAGTCGCTGTCAACAACAACAGTTCTATTCAGGACTACGTTCACCCGGACGATCAAACTCAACCTACTTTTAAAAGTCGGTAATGTGAATAAGTGATACTCTTTCCACTTGCTCAGAGCCAGTAATTATATAGGGTACCGCGACATGCCTGTAGAATGAAAGTACTCCTCCATGCCTGACAACGATGCTCCTAAATGGACACAAACAAAGCTGCACTAGAGATCACACTATCGAAGCTTGTTTTTTGTATATCATAACAGTCGTTTGTGCAAGTAAAATTTGTGTTTTTAAACGTTTTTTTGCGCAGCTTTTTCACGAAAAAGACTTTGTGAGTTACCCATGGTTCAGTTAACATGAAATAGTGCTTTTCTTCTGTACCCTGTCACTGTGAGGTAAAACAAATTTTCAGTTTTCTACATTCAGAGCCAAGGGTGAACGAATTTCATAGAATTTTCTTGCGCAAACTTATTCAAGTGATTCTTATTTTTTAGGCAATTTATCTTGAGTCATGTAGTCGTTGTGGAACCTCTGAAGCAAGAGGATGACGACATTCAAGTGAAAGTTTTTGTTGCTCTTCCCGACGGAAAGGACATTCGAGAAGATGATTATGTTGCTATATCTGGTTCAGTACTGAAGGAGATTTTAGAGGCTTACAAGCAGAACTTATCATCTGCTGTTGGTGCAGAAGTGAAGTCTATAAACACTGAAAGTGACTCAAGTGACAACGTTACTGACAATACAATGAACTTCATCATGATACCAATAGCATTTGCACTACTTGTTGTGTTGTGCTGCGTGGCATTCTGTTTGCACTCTGCCAGGTACATCAATGCATTATCGCTTATAGTACTTATCTAACTTTTCCTTTGTTACCATGCAGACATTCTTTTGGCTCGTCACGCAGTCTTCTATGGGACAGAAATGCGTGACGAAGCCCAAAGAACGTTTACGTGGGAGGCTACCTTAATCTTAACTTGGAAAAAGAACCTACGACTGTCTTGACTACTGGTTCCTCCACCAAAAGTTGTCTTAGGGAAAACGATCGAGGTCCCTGGTTCGAAACGCCTAGGCTCTGTTTTCAAACCTAGCCCCACTGCCGCCGTGCAGAACTCAATTTTGTTGGCCAACTGAATTAAATTCGACGTCGTAAACCCAGTCTGTACACGACTTTGACTAACCTGCGAACGGCAGACGGCGATGAGCGAGGAGAAACGTCTGCCGTTTGCAGGCTAGACTTTGACGTGAAATTGTCTATTTTCACTTTTTATTGACGAAAAACGACGACGAATTTCTCTTTCAGCTTATTTTTTCTTAATAATTCAACTCAAGAAGAGTTTGCCTACCTTAGATAAAGTGAGCGAGTGGGAATAATCGCACTGAAGTATCAAAGAACGCGAAGTCATGATCACTTTTTTAAAAAAGTGACCCAATTGTGAAGTTTTTGCCTCCGTCACTGTCGTAATATCTAAACTCCCTGGTGTTACAGTCTAGCCAGTGCCAGCAATCACGTGGAACCAGCCCTACCTTAATCTTTAAATTGTCTATTTTCTTAAGACACAATTTCAGAAACATTCTTCCTACCTCGCAACGACCCATCATTAAAACCAACTCAATCAACAGGTTTAGTTGACTAAATACATCACTCAAGTAAAGTGTAGACACAGGAACACCAGGAACTGGAAACCACATTAGCAGGCGACGAGCGATACTGATTTTTCTGGAAGTAGGTCATCTGAACAACGAAGAACAAAGTTATTTTTTTTGCCTTAAATATGTTTTAACGCAAAAACCAAAATGACAATTTACAAGTTATTACATTACAGGTAATGTAATAAGTTTAACAAGTTTCAACAGTTTATGGTGAAAAAAATTTATTTCCACAGTAAAAGGAAGAAAAAGGCGATTGAAAAAGAGCGAAGAAAGCAATTGAGATTAAATAGATTACAGCCTTCAGCAGACGACTTTGAACGAGGGGAACAATCAGTTAGTACAGCAGACGCCGTACAAAAACCAGTTGCAGCGCACGAAACAAGAAGAAAAGAAAAGACGAAGAAGCATCAAGATGAGACAGGTGATCACACACGAAAAACAAAGAAAACAACCACGAATGGCAAACACAAGCGACTTAAAGAGGAAGCCATGCTTGAACCTGCAATGCTTGGTGGTCAGCTGGAAATTGGTGAAAAGGAAAGATTACCGACACCAATTCCTGGACACCGTTCGATAAACAAACACACGAGAAAGAAGAAACAGAAGAAAGCTCACCGTGAACGTAGAGAACATGACGAGGGGTACAGCGAGGGTAGCGACACAAAGCAAACTGGTGAAATAAACAAAGAGGAATTGCTGATAAGAAGCCTACCTCGCCCTCGACAGTTGGCACCTCTCCCAGAAAGAACTGATATCCAACTGTAAAATAACATTATGCTACCATCAGTAAAAAATTTTATTACATCGCACATACTTTTAATAAATCTTACAGTGACATAATGTATACAGGATTTTTAATTGTATACTGGGTGATGTGACTGTAAGATAACTTAGAAGTATGTGCAATCTAATAAAATTATCTGACGTATAATTCCCCCACTAAAGATTGTCCCGTTAATAAGACCACATTCTCGGCCCAAACGTACTGAGAAACTCTGTTGTTTTTGCCTTTTTTTCCTCGCCTCTTCCCGTTTTGTTGCCTACATTAGCATGAAGTCCACAAATCAACGTGCCTTTAGTGTGGAAGCTAAGGACTGCGGAAAACGGCGAACATTCTACAGTTACTGCAACTATCACAAGGAGCCCTCCAGTCATGAATTATTTTCCCTCTCTATTTATTGCCGACGAGCAGCCTCGCGAAGACGCGAGGCGGCAGGATAATAAAGCCGTGCGCGAAATGAATCTCGAAGCGATGTAACATAAGATAGTGTAAGGTATCTTTTATGATGTATAAATGCAGAACAGAGAATATAAGAAAAATATCCTATGTAAAGTCATTATTTCAAATTCTTTATGAAGCGGAACAGTTTAGTTCACCATTTTCAAGGTAATTTACGGTCATGCAATCGAATTGAGTTCAAAATATTTTACCCAAATTCACTGGCTATTTATACGGCTAAGAAAATATAATAACGCCGCAAAATTTTTTTGTGTCTTTGAAACAAAATAATTCGGAAGGCTTCATCGGCGCACCATAAATCTTTTTTTTTTGGAAAAGCAGACTTTCAAAAAGACCTAAAAAGAGACCAAATATAAATCTGTTCGTTGAATATTCGCGGACTTAACGATTTTTCGAGGATTCTAAGTTTGCCTATAAGACAACTCAACGGGTTGAAAACTTTCGTCGCGCCTTTTCTCCCGACCCGACTGACTGCCCCTGGGTCTCCAACTACATTTTACGCAAAATGACCAGTCGGCAACTTCGGACAAAAACACGAATTTCAAGGAATTTCAATATCTCGAAAAATATGTTACTTAAAGTTGGGATTTCAAATTCTTTTTGCGGTAGAATGTTCAGTTTAGTTCACTATTTTCAACTACCACATGAGAAATTTCTGCAATTTGATTGGCTCGGAGTAGTGTTATTTCAGCTTAATTTGAAATACCTACATGTGAAAATTAGTAGACTGTTCACAGTCCCCTGTTTTTTCGTGAGATCGTCGAGATATAGCCCGGCTTACTTTTAATGGCGGTCATCTTTATTTTCAAATGTACCGAGGGGGCGGGGGCATCGAGGATTATAGCTGTAGGGGGAGGGGGCGAGAAAAATAGAGGGACAGTCCCTATCGAACTAGTTTATTTTCGTTTTGTGTTTTTCGTGATTAATTCAGGTGCAAACGTGGATATGGGTAGCTACGCCCCCGACTAGGCAGACGTCAACTTCGAAAAACCTTATTAAGGGTGGATTTTCACTGTCGCGTTATTTTTACGTGCGTATGCACTTAAACTGTACGCACTTAAGTAAAATAGGGGCAATGTATGAACTGTCACGCGTAAATGTAAATTTAAAGGAGGTTCTACTTTCAACGTTTACGCGGAACCTTTCCTACATTGCCTCTATGTAATTACGCACTTAAATTTGACGCGCGTAAGCAAGTAAAAATTACGCGTCAGTGGAAATCCACCCTCAGTGTGGCATAGTGTGGCATTAGATTCTTGTGATCAGTTGGGGTTCCGTGCTGCTCCATTTTTAGCCATCCTCGGAGACCCAGGAGCAGACAGTGAGTGCAACGGAAAGTCTAAACGGGCGGAAAAAAATGGCGCAAAGAAAAGTAGAGAACTGCATTTTTTTTCCCGCCCGTTAAGATTTTCCCTTTCCTCCACTATCTGCAAAACAGGCGTTATTTTTTCGCGTTTTTCAGGCGAAGCAAGCGAGAAGCGCGAGACACGGGCGTTGGGGAAAGACACCCTCACCCTCGCCCCTGTCTTTCGCTCCACTACCGCTTCGTGCTTCGTAGAACCTATTCTGCAGGGGGTTTGCGTTTTCTTTCGCACGTGACATGGAAAATAGTCGGTAAATTACGAAGATACTTTACCTCTTTCCCAGGGTGTCAATCCTCTGCACCCAACATGCCTCGACAAAGGAGAGAGACTGTAGCCGAGAGGCGCGGTCTTTCAAAGTGCCTTAAGGAACACCAACACAATGGCTGGTTCACTTAGAATTTTAAGACGTAAGGCAGGGGAAGAGTGAGTCAAAGGTTGTTTTAACTGTATGTAGAACGCAAGGAATGTACTGGATGTGAAGTCAAAGGAAAGGTAAGGGTTTAGACCTTGAGCTCAACATTTTCATACAAAACTTTGTTGAGTACTCCTTGGATGTAATTGAACACTTCACCTTGCCAACTAAAGAGTTACCCTCAGCTGTCCTCTTTATGCAATGTGACATATTAGGGCTTAAGGTTTCTGTACTCTACTTTGCTTTTAAGGAGCAGGCCTTTGTAGTTCAGACGCTGGATAAATCACTATTCAGCGGATAAGTATTAGGAGAAACAATAATAATTGCATTATGTGCTGGATAGAAATTTATCCAGTGGATAGCATTATCCAGATCCAGAGTGAGTAACTCCTCCGTGGTTCAACCCTTTGAAAAAATGCTGCCTAGTGAATAGCCCACCACCCATCACCTAACCTGGAGGACTAGGGACAGTTTTTGTCTGGACTGTCTCTACTTGTTGACCAATCCAGCATGGTTAGACCTGCCAGGGACCTGAGACCCAGATCAGTGGCACAGCTCACAGGGCCTGGTTACCAAGCCTTATCAACACCTCAAGGTGCCAGCGCCAAGCGAAGCAGCCAGGAAATAGTCCAAAGAATTGAGAGGCTATCACTATCTCAAAGAATAACATGTTTTACTGTTATCTTATTAAAATAACAACGTTTTATTCACTGACATTGGTTCCTTTTAGGTGAGGCAGGAAGTATTTTAAGAATAATACTTTAATATTATTTTTATTCTATCATACATGACTGTCTACAAAATGTGGAAGCATTTTCATTGTTGATAAGGTCCAATAATGGTAGTGAAGTAGGTTAAATTCCCACCTGAGGGACCACAAATTGCCACCTGTATGAAAGATTTCAGCAGCGTGAGAAGCGTTCAGAGGTCTGGTTTGTCCTCAAAGCTGTAGTTGATGGTTAAACCCTTTGTAATAGGCTTGACACCGCGGGGATTGTTAGTATGCATGTAGATACAGATGTAAAGTGTGTATGAACAACACATTAATATACACTAACAAGCATTATTATTCATTCAAAATATTTTCCCGATCCTGATTGGCTAAAAGCACACGCATAATTCACCATAACCAGTTTCTGATGACCAAAGTTGGAAGAATTTTGTGTCTAGCGAGGAATGACATCAAAAATGCAGCGTTTTTGCTGGTTAATGCACAGTTAACCGACAAGACCTGGGGATGAGGTTGAGTTGTTTTGTTTGTGGAAACAAAAATGGCGGACATTTCACTTGTTTCAAGAGTAAGAACTAGGCGAAATAATGGCTAAAAACATGGCAAGAACAGCAAGAGGACAACTTGAAGGGCCATATCTGCTTTTTGGAGAATATTTGCGCAGCTGGACAAACCTAAACTTAACATCAATGGATTGATGGAGGTAAGCATGTTTTAGCCATGTTTTTAAACTAAAAATTATTTTGACTGAATAATAAAACAATCATTGAATTTGGCTTTTGTATCATATGAAGAATTATGGAGACCTCGGAGGGTGTTTAATCCACCTCGGCCATCTTCATAAGATACTCAGCCTCATTCATCAATTGATAATTAACAACAAAAGAAAATAGATGTATTTGAGTTTGCCTTAAGAGACTTGGTATCACCAGTGTTAAGGTGTTAAGAGTTGGCATCACCTTAGCACTAATAGGCCTTGTTATGTCTTTGCTGCAAGTTAATTCTGATACAAAATAAGTTAGCCTTGATTATTCACAAGCTATTCGTTATGTAGACAGTCTGACTCCCAAATGTCCATGTTGCTTCTTGTTATCTGCTCTATGTGATTGTCTTTCCTCTTTTCGTTTTTGTTGTTCCAAAGCGCGCCGTTCCCTCTCTGCTTGCTTCCTCTCCTTTGTTAATTTTTCTGTTTGCCATTCAATTTCTTTTTCTGTTACACCTTCCTCGTCCCATGCTGTATTGGATTCTTCAGTCCATGATCCTAACTCAGGCTAATTTGAGGAAATAAAAAAGACCCTGATTCAGCCTGTTCATTCCAGACCTCATAAACTTATGTGTTATTGACCAAGGGTGAGGTCAAGATCGCTGAATATTATTGACCTCGACTCTGTCTTGGTCCATAAAAACACAAAAAAGAATGAGGCCAATATCCACAGCCACCTTGATCGAATAAGCTTGGTCAATAAATGATTTACTATATAGCCATAGACAACTTTCTCTTCTGGGACTAATAAGGGGAATTCCAAGCGGCCGGCAAGATGGGTCCATCTTGCCCCCTTGGGTAGCCAATCACAAGACAGGATTTGCTTCATCCTGCCCACTCGTGGGTACAGCCATATCATAAAGACGTATACTGGTTAGGTGACCTTTATAGATCTGGTTGAAGAGAAGATGTGAAACCCTACACACCGGGACCCTGGGAATCAAGCTCTCCAGTTTTTTTTTCTCAGCTGCCCAACTGGACAAACACATGACATTACCTGTACTTTATCAAAATTCTTCTGTTTTATTATTTCTCAAGTACCTCTAAACACACTCTCCTGCATAAACCAAGTTATATACTCATATAATTCTGAAAACTCTTACCTCCACTGGGGGATAGCTGATATCAAATTTCAAACGGTTTGATGGTCCAGCTGTTTGTAACTGACTACTCTCATCCGAAAAACTCTTTTTCTTCTTAACAACAATCTGAAGAAAAAAGAAAATTGTCTTGCCATGAAGGCTGGAGAACTATCATTTCACACCGAAAAAAGAGAGATCTTGAAAAAAGTCCTGCCCAGTAGTGTGGGTGTGGGACAAGTGTATTTCTTGCTGGGCAAGTAGCTTGTAAAGCTTACTTGTCCAATGGGCAAGAGTTCAAACAACTTATCCTCTGACATAATCAATAAAAAACTACTGATACATTATATTAGAGTTACAGGAACCTTACTTTTTTTGGTTTTTGAAAGACAGGCGCCATGTCCTGAAATAGATCTTCATCATCAGGTGGAGTTGGCTCTGGACTACAGGACACAGCTGGTTCAACCTTCACGCTGAATTCCTCCATTTTACTCCAATCTTCCCATTCATCTGCTTCATGGCCAGGCTGTGGTTTGATTTACATTGATATGATAAGATGTAATATCATGAACTAAAAAGTCATGGTGACAATTAATTGATTTATACACTACAGAGGCCACTTTTCAACTGAAATGTTTGGATATCAACAAAGGGCCTGGAAAGGGAGGCTCCTGATCCCACATTCCCACTCCTTTTACACAAGAAATCCCGCATCCCGAACTTCTGTCATCACTATTCCGAGTTTCGTTTTCTTTCCCAATCCCACATCTGTGCTTTTTCCCTGGTTAATGATTCCTGTATTCTGAACTGTATTTTTGTCAAAGCCTGGATTCCATGACATACCCTTCCAAACCCTGTTAACAAGGAAATTCTGTCACTGTTACTTTTTAGCTCATTAAGCATACATATAATAAAGATTTACAGTGAAACAGTAAATTGCAGTTAATGGAACGTGACGTGTCAGAGCTCCTGGGGATTGTTAGGCCAGTTTACACCATATTTCCCTTAACAGGGAAAAGCTTCCTCCTTATCCCTGCTGCCTCTACTTCTGCTGCTGCAGGCTTACCAGATTGCTTGATTAAAGTTTTAGGAAGGTTGTCTTCTGACTGTTGTCAACTCATGTCTGCCCATGCCTTGTATGACGTGTGTTACCTCATATTAGTCAATACTTGNACAGGAACCTTACTTTTTTTGGTTTTTGAAAGACAGGCGCCATGTCCTGAAATAGATCTTCATCATCAGGTGGAGTTGGCTCTGGACTACAGGACACAGCTGGTTCAACCTTCACGCTGAATTCCTCCATTTTACTCCAATCTTCCCATTCATCTGCTTCATGGCCAGGCTGTGGTTTGATTTACATTGATATGATAAGATGTAATATCATGAACTAAAAAGTCATGGTGACAATTAATTGATTTATACACTACAGAGGCCACTTTTCAACTGAAATGTTTGGATATCAACAAAGGGCCTGGAAAGGGAGGCTCCTGATCCCACATTCCCACTCCTTTTACACAAGAAATCCCGCATCCCGAACTTCTGTCATCACTATTCCGAGTTTCGTTTTCTTTCCCAATCCCACATCTGTGCTTTTTCCCTGGTTAATGATTCCTGTATTCTGAACTGTATTTTTGTCAAAGCCTGGATTCCATGACATACCCTTCCAAACCCTGTTAACAAGGAAATTCTGTCACTGTTACTTTTTAGCTCATTAAGCATACATATAATAAAGATTTACAGTGAAACAGTAAATTGCAGTTAATGGAACGTGACGTGTCAGAGCTCCTGGGGATTGTTAGGCCAGTTTACACCATATTTCCCTTAACAGGGAAAAGCTTCCTCCTTATCCCTGCTGCCTCTACTTCTGCTGCTGCAGGCTTACCAGATTGCTTGATTAAAGTTTTAGGAAGGTTGTCTTCTGACTGTTGTCAACTCATGTCTGCCCATGCCTTGTATGACGTGTGTTACCTCATATTAGTCAATACTTGTTTATCTTTTCAATTGGGGGGATACATGCTTCACATGTATCAGTGGTGGTTAAGTCTAGCGGTGACTTCGCTAAGCTTCGTATTTTTGCATTATTTCAATTTCGATTTGCTTTAGCTCCGTTATGTGCCAACGTTTAATCCTTTCCAATTCAGCACGTGCCGGCGGTGTCGGCCTAAATTGCTGTTAAAATATTGGCTTGAGTGAATTGGGAACTGCCTACACTCATTCCATTGGGTCGCACGATGCTGAGCCATAGGTTTTCAGCATATAGTGCCATGGAGAGTAAGGCTTTTAGTAGGTTGGGTGAGATTTTGGTCCTACTGGTCCGATCCAATGCTGTACACTCTGCTAGGGAGATAGGTTGGGTTCTAGTCACGCTTTTGTTACATGGGGAAGTAGAACATCACGCCGATAGCAGAATGGTATTCGCCCTTTAATTAATGCTAATATGGAGTGTTATCTTTCTTTGCGTTTTAATTTAATATAGTATAGGAAATGCGTAATCAGTTTACGTTAACACTGGAGCGACAACATTAACCTTCATTTTAAAATCTACAGCCAGAAACCTTATAATTAAAAACATATATAGTTTAAATTTTCAGGATTTAGGTGTTAAGCAGTGGTAAATTACTGAGATGTACCCTCAAAATAAGTATTGTTTGGATTTCTAGGAAGTGGACTAACGCCGAGCTTTTATAACAATAACAATAACTTTTGGATAATTTTGTAAAGGTTTAAGCTCGAGGTATGTGTTTTCCAGACTGAACATGAAGCACAAGAGAGACATGCCTAAGTATACCATGCTTTAGCGATTTCAATAAATTTTTTTTCTCAACAGATAGGCGTAAACTATAAAAGAACACTAACAGGTAAAACGAGTACAGAGAAATTCCCCACCTGATCATGGTTTACTGGGGGATCAGAAGCTACCGTCACGAGAGTGGGTAAAACATCATCTTCCGATCGGCTGGACTTCCTCTGTCGGCTTCTGAATAAAATTCTCTTAATAAAATTGAAAAGAATGGAAAAGCAGCTAAAGAAACGTCTAAAATTAAAGTGGACTACTTTCATAATTATGCACTTTGTATACGAAACATTTGTACTCGAACATACTAAATGGCCTCCAGGCTCTTTTCACAAAACTAGGTAACGAGCGGTGCCTGGAAACGAGCATGGTACTCAAAGAATCCGGGGTCCCGAGGAGGGAGGAGAGGGTACACTCAAGGTTGCACTCAAGGTGTGCCGTCGAGGAACCTGATTCATTCCGTTTTTTAAATAATTTGAAACTAACATCATGGAATTAGATTTTTTGAAAACATTTGTTTATACCAAAAATGTAGACCACATGGAAGATGCTTCATTTAATTAATAATGAAATTGTATACCCCATTTAAGACTCTTTAAGACTATAAGTACTCTCTTCCAAGTATCCACAATG